GGGCACGACTGGGTGAATGCATCCAACTGATACATGTGATACATGTATTGCCATAAGTTGGTTAAACCTACTGGGATTTCAAACTCTGAAAAGTATTTTCCTAAGGAAAAACAATGATTATAATAATAAGTAATTTCACAGAATAAATTTCTTTTAATAACTTTATTCTGTGACAACCATTACTATGCTACAATAATAAAAATAGCTATGATACAATATGTATCTCTAACTTTGATAAAACTAATATCAAAAGGACTGAATCAACATATCAGTAATTTAAATTTTAGTGAGCAAGAACACTGTTAGAACAAATAAGGAAAGTAAACAATTTAGTAATATGGATGAGATAAACAAGGCTTACCAGAACAATTTTGGTTAGTAGCTATAGTTATTTAATATGGTGTTAATTAAAAATGAGTCAGCAAAATATTAAAAATATATAGTAAATTTCATGCACAAATAAGCATTTTAATGGAAGTGGGGAGTTAACAAAGACATATTATCCATTTAATATTTTGTGAAATAAAAGTGCAAGATTAATAAGTTTCTCATGCTCCTTTGCATACTCACCAGCTACTCTAATATGTTGCAGACGAGGCATCAGCTCACAATCAAAACAACACATTGTATCACCAGTTAGAAATCGTCCTGGCCGTGTACTAAGATGAGCATTGATGTTCGAAAGTTGATTTAAAAGGGCTCGTTTTGTTGGATCTCCTCCTCGCGTTAGCACTAACTTAAATTTCTAAGAAAAATTGTGCAAATATAAAACATTATCTATGAATTAACTGAAACATCATTCCACAGCCTTAATAAGTAACAAGATGTTCCTATCTGTGTACAGCTTCACTTTAGTTCATATAAGTCATTTCAAGAGTGAGATAAATTCCTTATGATTGAAATAACACAATAAAAATAAGAAAATGTATTAGTTACTTTTCTTAATGCATAATATTTGACCGAATGAAATATTAACAAAGAGAATACAAATAACACAGGCATGTGAATTTAAACTTCATAAAGTCGTTTTGGTTTTAATAACAGATTTTCCATAATTCAGCTACACAGATTCTGAAAATAATATTCATTCTTTTTATCATGTAAGGATTTTTCACAAATCAGGAAGGAAAAAAAATCTTACTTAGATCAAATTATTATTTTGTTTACTACAATGAATAAAAATACAAACAAAACTGAAGAAAAGGGAAGAACATTGATGTCATACAAATATGCATCCTCATTCATCCTGATTTTTTTTGTGAAATCTACATCTTTTAGTCTCAAAACTACGTGTTATGGTCTTTCTTTTATGTACCGAATCTGGAGCATCTCATTTTAATGGCCCGCAGTAATCAGCGATCATGCTGATGTTCAACCTTCCTTGATACCTCCTCTCTATTTTCCTGATATCTTGATGTAACCTTTCCCTTTTTTCCTCGCTGACGGCACTGAGATTTTCAGGGAAATAGGCAAAATGCGAGTGTAAGAAATAAACTTTCAAGCTCATATTACAACCCAACTCCTTGAATTTATCAAGCATGTTATTGACAATATTTTTGCAATTTGGGTCCTTGTTGTTTCCTAAAATTGTTTTCAATAACATCTTTAAAGGCAATTTACACTTTTTCAACTTTTCTTACTGTCTTTTCAAATTGTTCATCCAAAGTCAATTTCATAATCTGAGGCCCAACAAACATTTAACACTATTATAACAGAATATGTTTGGGTCATTTACACAAACTCTTGTTGTCAAAGAAATGAATAAATAATATTGAAATGAAAAAAATAATGTAAAAGTGGACGCACAAACAACTACTATCCAGAAATGACTCGTCATGTGGCCTGTTAACCGTTTATATACTAGCGGTGCGTTTCTTGTGGGTTATAGAACGAAGAAAAAGACTCTCATGTCACGATTGGTCTGGAGAACTCTATAGCCAGTGGTTGTCAACATTTTAAACATAACAAATTGTGACCCGATTTCAATGAAAATTATTCAGTTATGTAAAAGTACATATGACATTTCATGAAAAATCTGTATGTGATGGAGAAAAATGATTATCATTTTTGGATTCAGCGTACAAGAAGTACTGTAGAACATGTAAAAATTTAAAGACAATAAAACTACTGCAGGCCTGTGTAATGGTTGTCATTAAGCAAAATGATTAACTCTAGAAGATGAAGAATGCATTTTATGATGTTCAGTTTGTGGTTTATACATTTTCATGAGAAATACCAATCAAAGTTAAAATTAAGTTAGATGTGTTGTAAGTGTCTTTGTAGAATCACAAGAACTTTTAAGGTACAACATTTAGAAATATTTGTAGCTTAAAGGTAAAGTGTTAATGACATTGATCAATACATGTGCCTTCTTGTAGAGATATAATGAAAGATGTAAAGAGCTATACTCATGGAATGTGAATTTACAAATCACAAAATGGTTTCTTTCAAATTACATTTAAGAGAGTAAACGGAACAAAGCTCAACTATGTTGAATAAAAATATGAAATAAATAGTGCACATAATATCATATATGCAGTTAAATGTATTGAAAAACATTTTAAATGCAGTAAAAAGAAGTGTCAATCAAATAAAGTTAATGTATATTCTTTTCTCATCAAGAACTTCACAGTTTTTGAGTCCCCAAAGATTATTCAAATATTGCAGGTCTGTGATGAAAAATTTCAAAATTATTATTACATGTGCCCCACTCTAAAACAAATACGAACAGTTTGAAAGTTAATGCAGTATATAACTTAACCAAATCACAAGTATTTGTATGGCACTGCTAATGAAGTAATATTCATCTTTATAATCTACATATATTTTATAAAATAAATTTCCACTTCAGAAATAGTTAATTCATCTTATAAAATAATTCATAGATTTTCAGACAGCTATGTTTCAAAAAATTAAAATAAAACACAGAAGATACCATACATACATACATACAGCTACACCTGCAAGCCACAATACTTGTGTTAATACAAAAACTTGAGCTGGCTTTAAACTTAATGGCCAAAGAGTTTAAAACTGTAATAAGCACTTCATTATTAAAGCTATTAACTGTGAAATTATACCCTAGATTCTTATCAAAGAAGAATATTTAACAAGTTTTGTTGTATAAAGATAACCCAAACATTTTTATATCTGATAATCAAATCCATTAGTTAAACAGCAATTTGTAAAATTTTTGACAGACAAAACAAAACCAATATTTCAAACTCTGGTCAATACTGCTAGTATTCAAACAATTTTTTTTTTCCAAATGAAGCCGCTTTTCATAGTTAATAATTATCTGAAGTACACCTAATTTGCAAATTTACTTGTTAAAGCTGTTGAAAATGTGCAGAGCTAACGGTATGCCACAGTTAAGAGTTGCTGTATGTGAAAGAGTGAGATTAAAAAAATCAGAGGACAAAGGACACATTCTAAAAGTTTTCTCATATTTACATAAGGAATAATAACTCCTTCAACAAACCATTCTTGTTTGGTGGCATCTACATTGAAATCTCTTCCTGAGGTGTGTGTGTAAATAAAATATTAATATGATAAACTAAATTTCTCAAAATAAATATATTAATGTAGGTATGCTTGTCTACAAAAAAAAAAGAAGAAGAAGCAAATGTAGCACAGGATGGTACAATATGCCTTGCCTGCTTTTTTTTTCAAAGGTATTGTATATTTCAGTTTCTTAGTTTGTATGCACAGATATACTCAAATTTAACTTTCCCCATTTTGAAAACATGCAAGATGTGGATTTGTTAATTGGCAATTAACCAACTTTCTTGCAGAGAAGACAGCATGTGGTGTCCAGAAATAGAAAGCTTCCTTTCCTGTCAGTGTATTGGATGATGGTTAGGAGCAGCCACATTCTACAACTTAACTGACAATGGAAACAGATCTTGAATATGTAATGTCTTTTGTGCAAATTTGGTTTTTTGTTTGGATATTTTGTTTTGATACTTAAAAGTAAATTTAACTCTAAGGTTTCTAGATGGAATTAGAAGGATTTTTGTAAGACCAACTTTTGGAAACCTTTCAGTAACTTTTGTAGTTTTTAAGACTTACTTTTACTTAACATTTACAGTGACCATTAACCATTTGATAAGTTGTGCTTTGACTGTAGCAAGTGTAGCTTAGCTAAAGAATTGGAAGTTCTTTTCATTTTTATTATTGCAACTAAAATTATTTGGATTTACTTTTGTGTAAATGTAATGTTAAACTGTAATTTCAATTCTAATTAATTTTACTTGGGACTTCATTTTCATATTAAGATTTTATAATGATAGTTTAACTTACAGGGTAGGGCACACCAAGCTAATAAGATCTTTCAAATAAAGTATCTTGCTCTTATCAGTTCGACACATACCACTAAACACTTGCCCTTGTTTTTTTATGTATTATTGTAAATGCATTTGTTTTTGTGGAAAATAAACATTTTTATGCTCATACATCTATTAGTATTAAGGCTTTCTTCTAGATGATCCTGGTTGTAGAAACAAATACTCCATAGTACTATTCTCAGAGTTTCCAGTAACTAGGCTTAACTGACTAATGTGTGGGAAAACTGTTTTAACAAAAATACCTTACAACTACTTTTGAAGTGAATTCTTAAATCCATGTAACAACAAAATTCGTCAACAGTGACCTGGACCAATGGATTAAGTTGAAATGATAAGAAACTTAAATGAAACTGATCATGGTTACCACAGTTATACCACACAAGTGCAAGAAACAAAATCAATACTGAATCTGGGCCTAAATGCTATCACTGGATTGAATAATATGCAATACCATTGGATTTAAGGGTAATTAAACACTTCATTATGACTGAACCTAGATACCAAAATTATCACTGGATTGAAACCCAAGTGACAAGAAATTTCTTCAAGATTAAATCTGGATTTTCTGACTGTCGCTGTATTAAAACTTAAATGACAAGAAACTTTAAAATTAAGTATATTTCAAGGTTTGATTTTGATAATATTTTTAAAATACTTATCTAGACTTACTTTTACCTGAAATAAATTTTGCAGTAATTTGCAAAATACATACAAGAATAGCTGTTTAATTGTACCCTATCAACTACATTGAATCATACTAAATCAGTTCTAAGGTGTTACTTTGCAAATTATTCATGAAGAATACATATTATTTTAATATGTATTTCATTAATTTGAAATTTAAACTTTTTTCTCAAGACTTATAATATTTATCCAATTGGATGGGTTGTTTTTCTAACTGAAAATATTATGAAAGCATTATCTTAAATATAATATTTACTAACACTGAACAAATTCTCAATAACTTTAGCTGTTTCTTTGTCTTGAATGAACAGATTATACCCGCCAGGCACATTCTTCATGATGTAACGTTCTATCTTTTCATTATCCAGGATTGCTTGTCCATTATCAATCAGGATTGGTGGTGGAGTAGAATCAAAGTTTGAGCGGAAATCTGGTGGAGGTTTTAACATGTCAACTGTTGTTACCTTAGAATGGGAAGAAAATTATATCACACAAATGTTAAAATATTACTTCACTCCCATGCTTAAACTTCTAGGAAAAGGGGGAAATATGGGTAATATAATATTACAATAAGACTGATAATAACTTAAATTGCAGCATTCTTAACTGGCTCACTATGGGTTTCAGTAAAAATAACTTAAAATAGCATTTCAACTGGGAATCAACTGATTATGAAACATCAAGTTTTTAGGGCATATAGCAATTAGCTTCAAAAACTTTAACATATCAAATGTTCTTGAGAAATGGAAAAAATTACCTTACACAAAAAAATCAAACAACTGACTCCTACATTATTTCACTTTTTTGCTTACAGCTCTATAGAAATTATCATGAAAACTAATACATGCACTGATAAAATAGGTTTAAACGTTTTGAATTTTCAATTAAAAATATATTAGCTGTTAGCTACAAGCCTTGATTTCACAGTATATTAAAGTAACTGAAGATTTCTATAAACTACAACCACTACTAAAAGTCTTGTCATATTAAATGTTTAAATGAAAATATTTGTCCAGCATGTTAAGCAAAGTGCCTTATCATATAACATTTCAATCCCCACTCTTGCTTGCAGTTGTTGTTTCCAAATAAGATAATTATCAATAAACCTAGATAAAGTTATCATAAGATTGATTTGAAATTTTTGTTTTTAGATCCAATCAACAGAAATAATTTTTTACAATGACAAAGTCTGATACAATAAACAACTAACAGCTTTACGCTGATAAAAATCTGTGACTATTGTAAATAAAAGATATCAAACATTTATTAGTCATAATAATATTTGATTACATAATTATTGGCTATGTAATTAGGTACTTCCTTGCAGAAATTAAGTAATGAGACACAAAAGATAAAATTTGTCTATTATCACATATAATGATCTTATTAAAGTTATATTTATGCAGTATATAGTTCTTTTTCAGTCATTCTGGCAAATTGCATTTTTCAAAAATTCTAGAACGAGTAATCAAGCAAAAGCTATAAATTGAAAATAAATTCAAAATACAAAAATACATTATCATCCAGAATACAAATTGACAACTGGTAAATATTCTAACATTTATAATACAAAACTGTCCACTCAAAACAAGAAGTAACTAACAGCCTATACATGAAACACATACACTTGTATAAAAATAATAATAGGGTACATAAAGTGCTTGTAAATTAAATATGATTTTGAATGAGCTGGTCAGTAACACATAAAAACTTCAAACACAGAACTAAAAAGATATAAAATATATTTAAAATGAATGACTTTAACAAAATTTATCTAGGCCTTTACTCAACAACAATACAACCTTCTCATCTGAAGGAATAAGAAAACTATTCTGATCACAATACACACACAACTTTACTTTAGCTTATTTAGGAATGAAATATAAATTAAACTGCAGCCAATGCTATAATCAAATTTTTTCTTGAAATGTTTAGCTTTCTATAAGCTACATTTCTTTAAAATTTGAAACTTATCAACTTTTATATAGGTTATTTCTATTACACATTATCAACTTGTGCACAAATTCACCTTGAATAAAAATGTCGAGAGAAACTCAATAACATAAATCTGTGCACACTAATTACGTTCCTCCAATGTTTGTGTAGAGCTTCTTCACATTGGTATGGTGACTATTTCTAAATGTATGTGAACATCATCAAGTGATTTTACCAACCTCACAGGCAAGCAATCATAACATACACATATACACCTACAGTGCACTTCAAGCCACAGAAAACATTTACTTAGAAAATTCTTGCAATTCAAGCCACAGAAAACATTTACTTAGAAAATTTAATAAAAAATTTAAAACTGCCAAAACTCTGTTGAAACAAACAACCTGAATGATGAACTGATAATAATGGCTGCAAAGATTTTACATCAATACATACATAAAAAATAAAAAACGACTTGCTGAAAGTTCAGGAAGTGGATGGAAATATCATCTAAACACCAATTCAACAGGAAAGTTGTTCATCTCAACAACTTTTAACTGTTCTTAAACTGCTATGTCTTTTAATATGTTAACATTTCACCCAAAATCTGGATTACACAACTCTATGAACAATGTATACTTTTAACCTTAATAATATAGTACCACAGTGATTGAATACCTGTACACTGTACTATATTTGGTTATATCTACATTATTTTTAGAATATGTTAATTATTCATGAACCATGCTAAAAACTTATCTTATTTACCTTTAATGATATAGTTTTTAGTTCAGCTAGGAGGTATAGGTCCATGAAGTACTCTTGACAGAAAAGACAGGCTCCTTTACGGCGACCATCAATGGTGGAAGCCTACAGTATGCAAGATAATGTTACAACTAAATTAAATTCAACTTAAAATGAGTTTAATTATTTATCCTGCATATACACATATAAAGACCTGTCAGGCAATTCTCTCTGACACTTGTACTATACTAACTAATTTACTGATGATAAAAGAAAAAGAATATTCAAAAGAAAACTTACCAAATACAGCATTCACTCTTATGGAAAATAATTTCTAAAATAACTCATTAAAATTATTTATCAATTATTAAAACAGCCTATAACTTTGAATAATGTTGTACCGAGGGTTAATTTTACTTTATAAGAATAATGTCCCAGTCCTTATGCTGCCTTTGGTAATATTTCTTCCATTGTTGATTGTGTTGAGGTTGATAATAATTATAATTATGCACTATTGTACAAAATCAATGTTTCCAATACAACAAGCTCTTGCAGTGGGTGGTAAGGTCAAATCTTGAAAAATTTTCCACAAACCTTCCACTGCAAATAGATACTGGCTTCCAGAACCATGTTTAAGTAGGAAATGTTTGTAATTATGCACAAAGCTACACAATGGGCTATCTGTGCTCTGCCCACCACGGGTATCGAAACCCGATTTCTAGCTTTGCAAGTCCACAGACATACCGCTGTGCCACTGGAGGGCATTAAGCAGGAAAAGCACAGAAATCTACTGAAGCTGCATCAGGACAAATTTACAAATTTGTGTTGGTGAATAGATCTGCTATAATTCTAGTTTTTTCAACCATCTTTTTCATAAAAACAGACAGCCATTGATTTCAAAATGTGGCTTAAAGCTTATAAACTGTTCATGTGCTGGCTTTCTTTAACATCAAATCCTTGTTTATTATCTTGTTAATGGTACCAGGAGATATGCTTAGGTTCATCACAATGGCTTTTTGGGTTGAAGGGTTCTTTTTCATAACAAAAACCCTTCATTTCAATGAAGAAGGAATTGCTCCTGATTGGCTTGGAGTAATTTTGGAGGCCACTACTGTCATAACATTCTACTGTAAGTTTTTACAACTTTGAGGGAATGTTGATGCCTCCTTTCTTTACAATGTTGTACCCTTTAGCTCTACATAATTCAAACATCTATATGAATATCATTTCACAGAAAATGCTGTAATTATTATTCAGCATTGCCCTATCAAATGGTCAAGAATTCACTGTAAATTTAATATCATATCACTAATGGCACCATAGCTTACATATGCAACAACATTAGCATATGCAAACTGTTCTTACAAAAGTGTGATTAACCTTCCATAAAATATAAATGAAACTACCATGTGTACTAGAAATTACATATGGCCCTAAAATAGACTCCATTATCCATCTTTCATCTCTATTTCAAAAACTATTTCTGGTATAAGCCCTTGTTCAGACATTAATCCTTTTGCAATGGGAGTCCCTTTTAACACTTTTCTGTGCAAGTCACTGTGTTAACATTCAAAATTTAATTATGTCCTTTACTTGAAAATAAACCTTTAAAAAACTACTTAAAACTTCAGATGTTGGTCAAGTGGCCAACGAGCTATGAAAATTCTCTACTTAGGTTCTCTGTATCTCTTCTCACATAACCTTTTGACTCGTTCATTTCTACACAAACCCATCCAAATATTCTGTTTGGTCCACCTCATCCCCGCCACCTTGATAAAACTGGCGCCGAACCTGACTGAAACTACTACTACAAACGATATATTATACTCTGTACAATGCACTGTAGTACTTTTCAGACGCTCAGTAGTTTTAACGCTACTACTAGTCTTTAGCTCTAACTAAGTTAGTTTAAGTCCCTAATTTACTCAATTACTTCACGTTTCAACTTACTGGTCTAAGGTTGAAAATTGAACTTTGATTTACAAGTTTAGTACTGGATTATTCTGAAATTTTTACTCACCCTTATGATCAGTTCAATCTCAGGAATATCTGGAGACTCGTTATCATTAACATTACCATCAACAGCATCAAAATTTTCTTCCGACATAATAACTTCTGTCAAAATGCTAAAAATTAAAAATAAAATTCAGCCTCAACCCTCCTCTAATAGGCTTACACTCTACCACTTCCTGCTTTCCCTCTCTCGCCCTCTGATGGGTTCAATGTTAACTTACTCATATACCAAATTTGTCAGACATATTTAAAAAAAACTCTTCACATAAACAAATTTAAGTTATTCTTCTATAGTAGAATTTAAATTAGTTTAAGTATTCAAATTTCTTTACTGATAATTATTTCGCAACGATGACCATATGTATGATACTAACTGGAATGCTTAAATCATAATGAAATATACTGCCCTTAGAAGTCAGAGTATTATGTTTTAAATCTTAACTATGCTTTTTGTAGCATAGTTGTACACTAACTAAACATTTTTTTTTTATTTGCGAGTTATGGTTGAACAAATGAGCATGTTTAGTGGGACGTGGATTCGAACCCGCGATCCTCATATTGCAAGTCGAGCGCCTTATCCACCTGGCCATGCCGGGCCACTAAGTAAACAGATTTACCAGGCTACCCTATATCTAGTAATCTCCCGACTATTCCCGAAGGTTCGAGAGGTGGCGTG